CCCCAAATATAATCCACTCTGCAACCCTTATTCCGTACTCTTACGATAAACATAATGCCCTAAAATATAATACTTTTAAACTAGAGGTTAAAGCACAGGAGAAGTTGTGAGGGTAGCCCATGGCCAAGCAAAGTTTATTCTGTTCTTCAGCTGGAGTTCCAAGGCATCTAATGACAACAGACAGCTCTGTTGTTGATATTGTTTGTTTTTGTTGCTGTGACTGTTTGTTGTAACTTTCCTAAACTAATACTGTAGTCTCTCAGCTGTGTTACGTGTAGCCCCTGATGTCTTTGCTTCGTTAGTTTCATGGTTGGCTGATGACTGACTGTATAGAGATTTTCTTAAATGTTTGAAGCCATTACATGACCTAGCCTTTCCCAGTGAGCTCTGTGTATCCGCTGTGACATGACTTCACGACTCAGGCAGGCAGTTTATGACTCTGGTGTAGCCTTGGCTTCCTGCTGTGTGAATTTCACTTGGCTTGAGATAGAACTTTAGAGCCATCCTAGGTCCTTTTTGGGCATGAGCAGTATGCATAAGCATGGCCTTTTAGAGTCTAAGGGATGTTTCAGAACTTTTAAAGCCCCTTAGAAATATAATTTTTCAGTTTTTCCTTTTAATTTTTTTGTTTACCTTATTGTTTTCTCCAATCGCTGTTGTCTCCTTAGGTAACTGCAATGTTAGGAAATTGCCACTAATATTTTTCAACAAACATTGTTAATTGTCGTTACATGCCACTGAGCTGAGTATGACTCATAGTGACCCTAATGAACAATGATCTGAACTCTGTCCTATCCTGTGTCATCCTTATCATCCTCAAAACATTTGGGTCCATAGCTATATAGACACTGTATCCATCCATCTTTTTGAGGGGTTTCTTCTCCTTTCTTAAGCCCCCACATTCCCAAGCATGATATCTCTCTCCAAGGAACAGCCTTTTCTAACAATATGTCCAAAATATGTGAGACGTCGCTTCTCCATCTTTGCCACCAAGGAACACTCTCGTTGCCCTTTCTCCAAGACCTATCTGGTGGTTCTTTTGGCAGTACAGTGGGTGGTCAGCGTTCATCTCCCACCCCACAACTCAAACACATTGATTCTTCTGTCATCCTTATTGATTGTTCAGTTCTCAGATGCATAGCTGGTGATTGGAAAGACTGTGGCTTGAATCAAACACACGTTGGTCTTCAGACTGACATCATTGCTCTTCAGGACCATGGAGAGGTCCCTGACAGCCGACTTTCCCAGTGCTATGAGTCCTGAGCTCTTGGCTGTTGGTTCCCATAGAGTTGACTGTGGATCAACATAAGAGGAAACAGTTGACAATTTCAATCTTTTCTCCATCCATCATTATGTTTCCTATTGGCCTATTAGTGAGAATTTTTGTTTCCTTGAGGTTGAGATGTAATTCATATGGAAGGCATCAGTCTTTGAACTTCTGCAGCAAGTGCTTTAGGTCCTCCTCACTTTCAGCAAGTGAAGTTGTGTCATTTGAATAACTCAGGTTGTTGGTGAGCCTTCATTCAGTCATGATGCCACACTCTTCTTAAAGTTCAACTTACCAAATGATTTGCTCAGAGTAGATATTGAATAGCTAAGGAGAGAGGATAAGAAGAGAGGATATAGCCATGTTACATAACTTTCCCTATTTTAATCCATGCTGTGTTCGCTTGATCTGTCCAGACAACAGCTTTTTGGTCTAGGTATAGATTTCCTGTTGTTGTTCTTGTTAGGTGCCAAGGTGTTGAGTACAACTCATAATGACCTGTGAACAAAAGATAAAAACCTTGCTCTATCCCACTCCATCTTCAGGCATCCTGACACACAAGAGCCCATTGCAGCAGTCATCGTGTCAGTCCACCTGGTTGAGGGTCTTTCTTTCCTTCGCTGACCCTCTACTCTTTCTTGCATCATATCCTTCTCCAAGGAATAGACCCTCCTAGTAACATGCCCAAAGTATGTCTTGGAGAGGCAGCAGCTGGAGTGCTCTTTGGAGGCAAGAATTATGAGAATTTGCCTCACATACTTTGGATATAGATTGCATATAAGCATGATTATATGTTCTCAAGTTCATATTTTCTCAAGGTTAGTTTATTATGATCCACACGATCACGTGCCTTTGCATAGAGGTAAAGCACAAATAGACCATCTTCTGATAGCCTCTACTATTAGCCAAGATCCATCTGACATCAACAATAATATCTGTGGTGCCATGGCCTCTTCTAATGCTAGCTTGCCTCCAGGGAAAGATCATTCTTGCTGGGCAAGCTCTACGTCACATCAAATAAAGGCAAAGTTTATGAGTGGGGTCTTCTAAATTCCAGACAGGTCGGATAATGGCAGTTGTCTGGAGAAAGGTTTTAGACGAGCTCCATCACTCTTCTTTCCCCTTCAGTTATTGCTAGGCTTGGTTTTCGAGACCAGAGAAAAGCTGGGGAGAGGGCAATGAGAGTAGGGCAAAGTTAAACACCACTAGGTTTATTGTTTTTACTGAGATTTAGTAATTTTTTTAAAAAAAGTGAAAACCCCAAATCTATCACAAGCCTTTGTTAATTTCCAGTGTTACTGGATTTCTTTGTCATTGTTCTTACTCTTTTGGAGGAAATTTTCAGAGGTTCATATTCTGCCATTTTTTCGGATTCATTTTTTTTTTTTAATATTAAGCCAATCCTTCATTCTTATATCAAAACCGCTTTTCAGTTAAGAACTTACTCTCCTTTTACTAAATTTTAAGATCCAATTTGATGACATTTTATTTAGAATTTTAGCACTTATATTCATCAATGAGATTTGTTTATAGTTCCCTTGTTTGGGTTTAGGAGTAAAGTAATATTGGCCTTAGAATATATTGACAGACATTTCTTCTTCTTCTCTCTCTTTTTTTAAAAGAATTTGGAGAATTAGTGTTATTATTTTCTCCTGAAAACTTGCCAAAAGTAAGTGAGACAAAGTTGCACCATCCTTGCCTCTAAGGAACATCCTGACTGCCATTCTTCAAGACTGATTGGTTTGTTCTTTTGGCATCTACGGGATATCCCGTGTTCTTCACCAACACCTCAATTCCAGGGCATGATTCTTCGGTTTTCCTTATTCCTTGTCCAACTTTCAGTTGTATAGGAAACAATTCATGACTTGAATTGGGCACAGCTTTGTCTTTAAACTATTATCTTTGTTCTTCAGCACTTTGGTGAAGTTTTTGACAGCAAATTTCCCCAGTGGAACAAAAATATCTTTTACTGCTGCTACCGTGGGTTTTCTTTCTGGATCCACTTAAGATGAAACAGTTGACAACTTCTATATTTTCTCCATCTATCATGATCTACCATACCTTTTCAGAACAGATTATCCGGGAGCCTGGGCTCTATGAGGAGAAATGTGGGGTCAAGATTGGTGGACGATTTATCAACAATCTGCGTTATGCGGATGACACAAACCTGCTTGCTGAAACTGAGGGGGACCTGAAGCACCTGCTGCAGAGTGTCAAGGACTGCAGCCTCCAATATGGATTGAGGCTCAATGTCAAGAAGACAAAGATTCTCACCACTGGACCAATTAGCAGCATCGGGATGGATGGTGAAGAGATTGAGATTGTTCACAGCTTTAGTTTGCTTGGCTCCACAGTCAACACTCTTGGCACCAGTAGCCAGGAAATTAAAAAGGTGCATTGCCATGGGAAAGTCTGCTGTTAGGGACCTCTCCAAAGTACTGAAGAGCAATGGTGTCTCTCTGGAGGCTAAGATGCATCTGATACAGGCCACGGTCTTTGCAATCACTGGTTATGCATCAGAGAGTTGGACAATGACCAAGGAGAATAGAAGGAGAATTGATGCCTTTGAGAAGAGTATTGAGAGTACCATGGACTGCTAGGAAAACAAACAGAATCATCCTGGAGAGGGTTAAACCGGGTGGCTCCTTGGAGGCAAGGATTCTGAGGCTCCGTCTAACATACTTTGGACATGTGAGGAGAGACCGGTCCTTGAAGAGGGACATCATGCTTGGGAGGGTGGAGGGATGGCGCAGGAGGGGAAGGCCTTCTATGAGGTGGATTGATTCAGTGACTGGGATAATCAGGATGGGAGTGTCAGAGACAGTGCGATTGGCACAGGACAGAGCGGAGTTTAGGGCTGTTGTACATAGGGTTGCTATGAGTCGCAAGTAACATATTGAAGATTGTGGTCCTTGATCTTCTGCAGTAAGTGCTTCATGTCCTCTTCATTTTCTGCAAGCCAGGTTGAGTCATTTGCTTAACACAGGTTGTCAGTGACTCTTCCTCTAGTCCGGACGCCACACTCTTCTCCATGTAGTCCCACTTCTTGAACTCATATGGATCAGCTTCTTAAATTAGGAAAGGTGTGTATCAAGTTGTATCCTCTCTCCTTATTTGTTTATTCTGTGTGCTGAGCGAATTATTCTAGAAGCTGTACTCTCTGGAGAAGCTAGTTGTTATAGCTAGCAGTTACTGAGAGGTGAGTATTATAATGGCCCATCCTTTTTCTCCTTAAAATTGTGTCACAGAGAATTGGACTATGAGCGCTCTGGGATGGTTTAATACACTAAGGTAGACGTCATGTCTCACTCTTTCTTAGACTTTCCCAGATCAGTAGTTTTTTAGTAAAAAAGATGCTGCAAGAGAGAACTTTTCGAGATGCATCTTTAGATGATTGCAGTATGCATTTAAAAGTGATAGATCAGATGCTTTTTTTAGTGAAAACATTTCACAATTTTGCTATACATTTTGTACATTTTACTTGGAAGCAATTAATAATCCATGTGATCTAGAATAGTACTGGAGATAAGCTTTGAATTTGACATTTGTTTCAGTCCGCAAGCAATGTGTAGCTTACGTTGGTGAGGCGTTCAGGAGACTCCGTGAGTAACGTGAAATTGTTCAAATATTCAGTGGCAGCTTCAAAGCTGGGAAGTTTGTGCCCATCCTGAAGCACATTGGGAGCAAAAGGATTCGATGGTCAATTTCTGAAAAGTCAGGCCTTTTAAACCTTCTGAAAATAGCCCTTCTCTGACAGATGTGGGGCTGCATGTCGGAGTCAACCTGATGCAAGCTGGTGTTTTAGGTACACAGAATTTTAGTAAATGTTAAATGAGAAGAAAGCCTTTTGGTTATTAAGTAGTATATTCTTTAAAGAAACTCCTATTTTTTCTTTAAAGTGTAGTATTTCTGTTAATATTGTAGCATTAACTTCCTTTTCTCCCCCCTTAAGGTACTTTGTACATCATTTCGTTAACTGACGTCATTTTCCCCTCTCTTTAGAGCCATAAACATTCTAGGTGTATACGACCCATCCTTCCTTATTTCAATGTGTCACAACAGATTGCTACCTTCTCCCTTAAGGGATCTTTTGTAAGTAAATCTGTTGGGTTTTGTTCTGGTTTTAATGTGGCCATTTATGTAGTATATCACAGTGTAGAGTTCTGTTGTCAGTCTCGTACCATGAACTCTTTAATAGCTTGTATAGATACATGCAAATATCATTGTGTCTTTTACACAGGAAACACTGAACTCCTTCTGGGTACTGTGACTCCTTATATAGGTTAAGTGTTGGGCTACTAACCAAAAGGTTAGTTGTAAAAAGTCTGCAGAAAGAAAAATAAATAAAAAAGTTAGTTGTTTGACTCCACCAGTCCACGGGAGAAAGAGGACATTGTCTGCTCCTGCAAAGATCTGGAGCCTCAGAAACCCTGTGGGACATATCTCCTCTGCTGCGAGGGTTGCTGTGAGTTGGAAGCACCTTGGCATTTTTGTGACTTCCAATGGCATTGTGATGTTGCTGTCACTTGGCATCGAGTCAGAACTGACTCACAGCCAACCTTCCAGCAGGTTTTCAGAAGCAGTAAATTGCACAAAAGTTGCTTGCCCACTTTTCTCCTGTGACGCACTTGGTGGATTAGAACAGAGTACCTTGGGGTTGGCAGCACAACTTCTTACCACTAAGCCACCAGAGCACCCTTCAAATGCCATAAGCATTGTATTTTAACTGCAGGGAGTTCTTACAACGTTTTTAAAGCAGATACAGTAATGCATGTTTTTAAATTAAAGGATTGAAAGTCACTAAAATATTTTGCTTTTGCCATTTTTTTTAGGGTTTATACTAAATTACATATTTACTGGAATAATGTTTGCCTACCTTAAAAAATATTAGTATTTAAGTTTGAAATGGGTTATTGTAAATGGAAATGAAGTCATTGGACCATGCTTACTACCACTGATTTTAGAAATCTGAGCAGTTGTGATGAAAAACTGACCAAAGCTTTGTTTGTGTTTCCCCTCTAGAGCAAAATACCACAACTCCAAGTGTGGTATACCAAACTTGGAAAACCGTCGAAGCAATTTCATTTTACGCATCTGGATCCTATATGGGTAGTTTAAAATACATTCCTATAATTGGGTTTTTGTAATTGTTAACTGTGACTAATGAATTAAGGATTTTTAATTGCATAACTTAATTTTTAGCTAATGTATAATAAAGTTGTTGTGAGGAGAGACCGGTCTTTGGAGAGGGACATCATGCTTGGGAGGGGGGAGGGACAGCGCAGGAGAGGAAGGCCCTCTATGAGGTGGATTGATTCAGTGACTGGGATAATTGGGATGGGAGTGTCAGAGACAGTGCGATTGGCACA